CTGGAAAACATAGGAAAGGAAGAAGAAAAGGGGTAATTATAGAAGGGTTGAAATCCACTTACTAAGTGATGCTGTTGTGATCTACATCTATTTAGAGACTGCTTTGAGATCCAACTTGACCTGAACAAGCTAAGTATGGCAGATTACATTTTCCAAAATGGCTATGAGAGTATCTCCCATCCTCCATGCTCTTTTTGCAATGTGACTTTGTTATGCCTCCCCATCATGAAATGAGTTCACGTTCCCTAGCCTTGAATCTAAGTGAAAATAATGTTACGCTGACTTCCAAACCTAGATCATAAATAATGGTACAACTTCTACCTGGTTCTCTCTGGGAAGGTTTGATCTTAGAAACCAGCTACCATACTGTGAGGAAGTCTAAGCAGCCCATGGACAGGTCCGGATGAAGAGCCTTCTGGTTCACAGACCTGGCTGAACTCCCTGCCACAGCCAGCACCAACTTGCTAGGCATGCAAAAAAAGATATCATCGTAAAAGTGGATCTTCCACCCCCTGCAAAACCTTGCCAGAATTTCCAATTTTTAAGCAAACTAAATTATTCCTGTTGCTGTAAGCCACTAAGTGCTTTAAGCCGCTGTATATCACATGGCAATGAATAACTGATACACCAAACAAACAGAAAATGACTATACAGCCAAATCAAAGCTGTCATTCCATCTATCCCTTGCTACATACATTCTGAGAAAAAAATGACCAGCCATGACTATCTTTCATTTTAGATTTTTAAATTTCAAACATGTATAAACAATAGTATAGGGAACCCCTATGTATCTATCACCCAGTTTCAACAATTATTCTTCTGTGATTCCTATATCATCTACATATCTACCAATTTCCCCCACCTATTATCAATTACAATTTAAGGTAAAATTTATATGACTTCAAATGCATAAATCTTGGCGGTATAATTTTGATAATGGAAATACCCACACCCCGGGTGTGGTTTCTTTCCAACTCTCCAGAAAGTTCTCTTGTCCCTCTCCAGTTAATCCTCCTGTAATGAGTCCAGTCAAGAGACAGAAATCACACCAGTGGTTTTAATAAAGAACATTTATTCTATCTCATAAATACATTCTAATAAAGACTGCAATTCGAAGAATTACTAACTAGTAAAAGGAGAGTAACTACTAACAGGGGGCAAAAGAGAACACTAAAGGACACCCTGTGGCTCAGACAGAGTACTCAACGATTAAATAACCTTGGTAGGAGGGCAGCATCCCTCCCCAGAGCTGAGATTCAGAGAATGTGGAGTGTGGCTGAGGCGTAGCAGTAAAGTCCATCAGGCTGCCCTCATACAGAGATGGTTCTCAGCCATGACGGGCCAAAGTGTGGTGAACAGGAGTCCAACACCAGCTCACAGTAGTGAGCAGACGTCCCCTGCTGGGGTGCCAATGGGCTGAGGCTGGTGAGCAAAACTTGGTGAAGGGTGACTACCACTGGGTACACCACACACATGCTCCTGGCAGCTGTATCATGTGAACAAGAAGTGAGGAAGCACACAGGAACCAGGAAGTAAAGTCCCATCTTCCTCCAGGATCTCTACAGCAGTGACAAGACTTAACACCATGCTAGCCCAAAGCAATGCCAAGGTCTAGCTCACGGCACCAGTCCAGCTTCTAGGTGTCACGGACTACTTTTTTCCTTTTCAATATTTTTGCAGTATTATAATCAGCTGTCTAGTTTTATGGGGAAAAAATTTTAGACTTTAATTAGAATTTATGCATTTTCTGGGAAGATATCATATGCTGTTATTTTCCCATTCATAAACATGGCAGAGTACTTCCTTTCTTTAGGTCACCTTAAACGTCTTCTAATAAAATTTTACAAATTCCTCCAAAAAGGTCTTTCACATCTTGTCCTAAGAAACCTTACATTTTTTTGTGGCTATTATGAATATAATTTTTAAAAGCTACTATTTAAAACTTTGGTTCTAGTGAATTGAAATGCAATTGATTTTTTAATATTCAGTGGAAGAATTTTGTGAGTTTTTTTTTTTTTTTTGAGACAGTTTCATTCTTGTTGCCCAGGATGGAATACAATGGCACAATCTCAGCTTACCGCAACCTCCACCTCCCAGGTACAAGTGATTCCCCTGCCTCAGCCTCCCAAGTAGCTGGGATTACAGGCATGTGCCACTATGCCTGGGTAATTCTGTATTTTTAGTAGCAATGGGTTTTCTCTATGTTGGTCAGGCTGGTCTTGAACTGCCGACCTCAGGTGATCCGCCTGCTTCAGCCTCCTACGGATTTTTTTTTTTTTTTTTTTTTTGTCTACTCTTTCACTGTGGGTGTAATGGAATAGTCAGAAACTGAAACTACTAGGAAATGTAGGATTATTGTTAGTGACAGCCCATTTGACAACCAAGGATTGACATAGTGAGGGAGTCAGAGAGACAGCTGGAGGGAGGATCTTTCAAACAACCAGCCTTGGGTGAACTAATAGAGCAAGAGCTCACTCATTATCACAAGGGAGGGCACAAAGCCATTCTGGAGGGATCTGCCCCAAAGACTTAAATACCTCCCTCTGTGCCCCACCTCCAACACTGGGGATCAAATTTCAACAGATTTGGAGGAAATGAATAAAACAGAAAAAGGCAAAATGAATGAAAAGATGCATAATCCTAATAATCAGAATTTATTTAAAAAATCAAATGGTCAATCTAGAACTAAATGACATGTCTGAAATTAAGATTTCATTTGATGTACTTAAGAGTAGACTGGACACAACATAAAACAAAATTAGTAAACTTGAAGTACAACATGAAACTCACTGTAATAAATTAAAACAATACAGCTATGGATAGAGTAAAAACTTAGAATTCTCCATCTCCTCCCCTAAAACCATTCCACAAGACAAGGCATGAATTGCCTTACATATATACACACATATATGTAAACATAAACACATATACAACTTATATGAAATAATCAGACAGTTAGAACAGAATGGATAGCTGCTAAGCAACTTGCACTTTTTCCTTTTTACTTAATAATAAGTGTTAGGAGCCAGGTATGCTGAGGTGGGAAGATCACTTGAGCCCAGGCTGCAGTGTGCAAGGATGGAGCCACTACACTCTAGTCTGGGTGACAGACGAACACCCTGTGTCTCAATAATGATGATGATGATAATAATGTATCTTGGAGGGCATTTCTTCTTAGTATGTACAGATATACTTTATTGTACATAATATCTCATTCCCTTAGTCACTGTTAGGTTATTTACTATTTTTACTATGAAACAAAGTTATGATGAATATCCTTGTACATCCTTCTGAACACATGTGCAAGTATTTCTCTAAAGTAGATCCCTAGAAGTGGAAATGCTTGGTTAAAGGGTACCTGTATTTAACTTTTTTTTTTTTGAGATGCAGTTTCGCTCTTGTTACCCAGGCTGGAGTGCAATGGCGCGATCTCGGTTCACTGCAACCTCCGCCTCCTGGGTTCAAGCAATTCTCCTGCCTCAGCCTCCTGAGTAGCTGGGACTACAGACAGGCACGCGCCACCATGCCCAGCTAATTTTTGTATTTTTAGTAGAGACAGGGTTTCACCTTGTTGACCAGGATGGTCTCGATCTCTTGACCTCGTGATCCACCTGCCTCGGCCTCCCAAAGTGCTGGGATTATAGGTGTGAGCCACCGTGTCCGGCCTAACATTTTAATATATATTTCTCAGTTACCATCCAAAAAGGGAAAGGAGAGTGGGGAGGGGGAAGGGAGGAAGTTTACAAAATTGCCCCTCCAAAACCGCCAAGGAGATTAGTTACTAACCTCAGCTGGGCTCTCCTCTTTCCTGACCTAAACATCTCTCTCCCTCATTCTCCTCATAATGTAACTTTGCTCAAACCTCCTACTGCACCAACAGCCCTATCCCCACTCAAACAAACACACACATTCTTGGCCAATATCTCACCAACTATTTGTAGGGGAAAAAAAATGTCAGCAAAGGTAAACTTTCTCAGCCTCCTGCCCCCAAAACCTACAACACCTAGTAACTATCCCCTTCCTGTCTTCCTTCCCTTCTAATATAATGGGAGTGGGGAGCAGTCCTTCCTCCTGTCTAAAGGCAATTCTGGTTGAGAGGGTCTTTACTTCACAAAGGGCTGGCTCCACTGACCAAAGGTCTCAGCCACCGCTCTCTCCTCAGCTAACCTCCAACTGTTTTCTGTCCTCACAGCTCCCCAAGGCTCACGTTGGGCAGAATTCAGGTCCTTATCTTAGGTGACTAGTGCGGACTCCCTACTTCTGACAACTCTCTTCATAATGCCACTCTGCTGATTTTCCTCCCCAGACTCTCTGGCATTTCTTTCTCACTCCTCCTCCAGTCCTCAGGCACTTCTTGTCCAAACCTTAAAAACTGAGTTTGGGTTTTCCGTCCTGGGCCTTGTGTTCATTCCCCCTGGGAGATGTCAACCACCTCCCACGTGCAGCTACCACCACCCTCTGTTTTCTGTCTCTTCTGCATCTTCAGCCAGGTCGCCCACAAGTCCCAATTTGACTTCACTTCCTGGCATTCCGCTCCGCCTTCCCTCCACTCCTCCCCTAACCCGCCAACCTAGTCCCTCCTCCGGGAAGTCTTCCCTGACTCCTCCCCCTTCTAACTCCCCTGTCAGTCCGAGTCTGCGCCACGCGTGTCCAGTACCTCGCAGACCTGAGGAATGTAGTTCTCCTTGAAGTACTTCTTCAGCCTCGGGTTGGCATTGCGTAGCGAGGCCATGGTCCGAGGCCTGACGGAGAAGCTGCGCTCATCCCCTCGCGGCGCAGGAACTAGGAGGCCCGGCGCGAGGGGCGTTGACCGGACAACCAGGGGGCGGGGCGGGCTCGCCCAGCGCTCCACAGCCCTGGGCGGGAGGGAGGGAGGCTTGCCTTACGCCCCGGGAGAAGCGACGCGACAGCCGGCTTAGGGTTGCCAGCGCCGACGTCTCCGCGTGGGGTGCATGGTCCGAGCCGTCCCTCCCGGCGTCCAGCGTCCCACCCCGCCTCACCTGGTGAAAGCCTCCGGGACGCACCGGGCCCGAGTGGGCGGTAATAGGTGTTGAGCTGGACGGTTTCCGGGAGGCGGAGCTTAGACCCCCATTTCCTTTCTCCCCAACCCGGTAGCTTTCCGGTTGCTGTGGCGGCGAGGCCCGCCCGTTCTGAAGATACCTGCGCTGGCCCTTACGAGCCTCCTGTCCGGGCCCGGCCTTGCGGCTCTGCCGCGGCGGCAGCATGGGTGGCGCCCGGGGCGCGGGCTGGGTGGCGGCGGGCCTGCTCCTCGGCGCGGGCGCATGCTACTGCATTTACAGGCTGACGCGCGGTCGGCGGCGTGGCGGCCGCGGGCTCGGCCTGCGCCCCTCGCAGTCCGCAGGTGAGACCGCCGGGTGCCCGACAGTTGGGCTCGAACTGGGCTGAAGGGCTCCCCAGGCCCGGGTGGTGGCTTGTCCTCGAGGTAATATGAGGAGCCGAGCTAGAGGGAGAGGCGATACTTGCGTGGGTGCAGGGTGCTGCGTGGGCCTGCTGCCCCTTTGTTCGCTATACTGGCATGAAAACTTGTCCGAGCTTTCCGGCCCAAGCCCCGCGTCACAGTGGAGGATTAGGTTTCTTAAAAGACTATTGATGGCCTCTCTCTTCAAAGCGTGCTCCGGGCCTTTGTGTAACTAAAGGGATTCTCCAGATTGTGGAAGGGCTGTTGAGGGGCCCGGAGCCGTAAGTGAAGCTCTGCTTGCAGGTTCCCTGGAAGAAGGGACGCCAGAGGGACAGTTGTGTGGGCGCTCGGCCCGGCCTTAGACGGGAGGTCCCTGGGAGTCACAGTGGTCCAAGACCTCGCAGCCTGGTGTGTGTTTTGGGAATAGGAACAGTTGTCTGCGTGAGACACACCCTCCTAGGGGACAAATGTGTGGTTCGGTTTCTGTCCAGAAGTTGAACGATACGTTAAAACTCTCAAAAAGGATATTTCACATCATGGAAGCTGTTAGGCAAATAATTTAAAGTATCACATCTGCCATCCAAGAAACTTCTGTCCACAACTGCAGAAGAAAACTAAACAGCTTCATTGTTGAATAAGCACAAACTAGATTGCCTCACCATCTCGGGCAGCTTGCTAATGGGCACCTGGTTCCACATCATAAAGATATTTTTACTTTTCCCCTGGATGAATGCAATGAGCTAACACAGCTACAGAGAGAGCCTGTGTCAAAAATAATTTCATACTGATTTTAGATAACTTCAAATAACTTTCTTATGCAGAAGACTTAACTGATGGTTCATATGACGATGTTCTGAATGCTGAACAACTTCAGAAACTCCTTTACCTGCTTGAGTCAACTGAGGATCCTATAATTATGGAAAAAGCTTTGATTACTTTGGGTAACAATGCAGCCTTTTCAGTTAACCAAGTAAGTACCTCGACTCAGTAAGCAGACTCCTTCCATTCTTGCACACTGGCAGTAATTTTGACCCTGAATAAATTACTTAACCTCTCAGAGCTTCAATTTCCTCATCTGTGCAATGTGGCTACTTAAACTGATAACAAAATGTTTGTTTACTTCTGAAAAACACAGCCTAATAGTAATATGATTAACAATGTGATTGTAGATCCCTATGAAGTTTGTCACCGGCATCACATTCATATTAAGTATGTCTAATCAACATTTAGCATTTCATGGCCTTTTAAATTATTTGAAATTCAGCAGTGCTTCAGTAAAACAATGAACACATCTAACATGTAAGTACATACTTTAAATTGTATATAGGTCTTATGAGGGTGGTTCTGATGCAGGTGGTCCCTGGACCACACTCTGATAACCACTAATCAATGTAAATGGCTTCAGCAAATGGAGACTTTAAGACTAAAAGAGCTTAACTTGAGCACTTCCTTCTTCCTGCCCTAATTCATAAGCCGCCAGCATGAAAAAATAGTTTAAAAATTTTTTGTAATTGTTTTCATCTAATCCCCTTTGTTAACATCATAAGTACAAAATTATTTTGAATTTATAGGTCTTTTTAGCCCAGCTTTCTCCAGGATGGGAAGGTTTACTGTAAAGCTCTATAGATGTATAGGGAGGTAGAGAGTCTTTGTGCATTATCTACTCTTTCAGTTATAAATGACAGAATTCAACTTAAATTGTTTTAAGTCAGAGAGAGAAAATACTGAGCTCAGCTGACGTAAACAGCAAAGAATAGCATTGGTTACAGGCACAACTGAGTCGATTTCAAGATTGCAGGAAGAATAACCAGAGTTCTCTCTTTCTCTACCTTTTGCATGTTATTTGCATGTTACTGGCCTTTATCTTTCTGGACACAAAGTGATTTTCTTCACACGGGTTGAAAGAAAGCCACTAGCCTCTCTAAACATTCATCTCTGTAGCTTATGATCCAAAAGGTACAGTTGTTCTTCTAGGATCCAGTGCTAACCCTTTGGATCAATCTCTGGGGCAATCTCTGGATCAGTCAAGGTACCATGACCTATGTTTAGTGAGGCCTGGCTCACCTCAGCAGCCTACAGCTAAGTAGCAGGGATAGCTGTGAATACAAGTGAACAACAATCCCAGCAGGGACTGTGTGGGACAGGGGAGATGCCACATCTGCCTCTGTAGAAAGAGGGCCAGTAGACAAGCAAAAACAATAGATACTGATTAATGTGTTAGCCTGCCTTTAAAGAAGCATTTCTGATGGCATAATTTTGTATTCCTCTAAAATAAGAGGTAGTCGGAGTAGGCCAATACCCACTGGAGAAGAAGTACCTTCTTGAGCAGCAGGGGTTGGTGCTTTCACCATCAATTATAGTGCCTTAGTCTGCTTTAACAGTACAGTTGAAAAAAAAAAAACAACCCCGGTTTCTAGAAACTGCAAGTGCTTCGAAAGAACTTGAAATTGTAGAGGGAACATTTATTACTCTTTTGATGCTAAGGTTACCCTTAATAGTAAAATGGAGTATAAAAGTTAAAGCAATTTAATTCTTTCAATGTTTGGGCCAAAGACACATAATAACATAGTATTGCAACTAACTGTAAAAAAATCCCATATAATTTTTTCTCGGAATATTCAGGCACCATTTTTCTTCTTCTTCTTTCTCCTCCTCTTCCTCCTCTTCTCTTTTTTTTTTTATTTTGAGGCACAGTCTCACTCTGTTACCCAGGCTGCATTGCAGTGGCACAATCTCGTCTCACTGTAACCTCGTCCCAGGTTGAAGTGATTCTCCTGCCTCAGCCTCCCAAGTAGCTGAGATTACAGGCACCCACCACTGTTACTGGCTAATTTTTGTATTTTTAGTAGAGATAGCGTTTCACCATGTTGGCCAGGCTGGTCTCGAACTCCTGACCTCAAGTGATCCACCTGCCTTGGCCTCCCAAAGTGCTGGGATTACAGGCGTGAGCCACCACACCTGGCCCGGGGTACCATTTTTCAAGCTGCATGGAACCTGATTCTGGAAGATGTCAGTGTGTTCCCACCACTTCCACTGCTGAAAAATGACCCTCTTTTTGTGTATAGTTCATAGACAGACTATCAACAACATATGCCTCTTGAAGATTCCCAATGCACATGAACATATTAAAGAAACATGCTTAGCCTTGTTTTACTCAGATTTTGCTAAACTTACGTAACCATGGGAAACCACCCTCCCCCTTATTTTTATGGAACATCTATTAACATTTTGAGGGATTGGTGTTTAAAATAACACAGGTCAGCAAAACATAAATCGTAACACTTTTCCAGTTTTGCGTATAATGGAGAAGTTACTTATCTCAAAGAAAAATAATTTTGTTTGTAAGTTGCTTCAAGATCATAGTACCTCTGAATTTTGATTGTATTTCTCAACACTGTAGTTTAAATAATTATATATCTTAATAATTTTATTTTCAGTGGATTTTCTTTACCTATAAAAGTATGGGTAGTGAGATTTTTTAAAAATAGGAATTAGGATCGGGTGCAGTGGCTCACGCCTTTAATCCCAGCACTTTAGGAGGCAAAGGTGGGCAGATCACCTGAGGTTAGGAATTTGAGACCGGTCTCCACTTAAAAAAATACAGAATTAGCTGGGCCTAGTGGAACATGCATGTAATCCCAGCTACTCGGGAGGCTGAGGCAGGAGAATTGCTTGCACCCAGGAGGCAGAGGTTGTGGTGAGCTGAGAACGTGCCATTGCACTCCAGCTGGGTGACAAGTACGAAACTGCATCTCAAAAAAAAAAAAATAATAATTAATTAAATATTTGTATATGGGAAAGGTATTTCCAAAAAGCCATTAATTTTTAATTGTATTTGTGGATGCAAACAATTCAGTGAACTAAAGTCCCTTTGGTGTGCTAAAGTCCCAGTCCTGGTTGTTTTTTTTTTCCCCCTCCTAGGCTATTATTCGTGAATTGGGTGGTATTCCAATTGTTGGAAACAAAATCAGCCATTCCAACCAGAGTATTAAAGAGAAAGCTTTAAATGCACTTAACAACCTGAGTGTGAATGTTGAAAATCAAATCAAGATAAAGGTAAGTTGATTGAAAATCCCAAATGTATAATGTTTTCCATAAATGAAAGAGAAAATAACAAAGAGATGAGTAATGAAACTTTAGTAGATGATCCTTTGTAACTTTGCAGCCAAGGATTACCTTTAAAAGAATGGAGAATAAGACACAGGAGGGAGGGACCTGAAGTAGCCAATAAGAGGTACAATGAGACTTTTTTTTTTTTTTTTTTTTTTTTTTTTTTCAGTAAAATAATGCTTATTTATTCTATAGGTTATCCTCTACTTTATACCAGGGACAGGCACTGGTGACAGTAGTGACCTTAAGGCTATAGGCACAAACCAAATAAATAATGGATGTAGTTGGCTGAAAGTTAGGACAAGACTGTATCAACTAGAACTAGAACTAGAATTACAAGAGATTCATTCAAAGAGCATATCCAATGCTGCATATTCATAAATATGGTCATTAATGCATACAGTTTGGCTTGTTTTGCCTTTGAAATTAAGTGAATTATATCAGTGTATTATGGAATGTTAAGTCACTGTATGCTTTAGCTCTTTCAATGGATGAGGCAAATATGCAAGTAGACTCAGCTGACTTTACAGAATAACTGTTCCTTGATCTAGTTTTATGGGGAGAAATCCTGCACTTTAGGATGCATATAAAATGCTAATCAACATTACTGACATTGCTTTAATGCTTTTTTCAAAAATGTCATTTATAAGATAGTTAACCCGTGAAAAAATAGCTTGGAAAATGCTAACAGTAAAAACTCTCCAGCCTTGGCATATATAGTCAGAACCCAGTGA